CCGCTGCCCGGAACACTAAAACCGGCGGGCAGCCGGCGGGTGGCCCACCACCCACCGGCTACCCGCTGGAAATTCGTCCCACCCGGGACCCCGGCTTCCCCGTTTGATGTTCCCCGTTCCCCGTGGTGTCCCAACGGACTCCGTTATAGTGCCTATGTCTAGTTTGATGTTTCGGGTACCGTTCGTAGGTTTATGAGTCTATTATATTGCATGCTAGTTGAATTGGTATCCCGTTGACCTAGGTGGAAGAAGTATGAACCCCTTAGGACTATTCTTAGTATGTGATGGATCACGCATAGGTTTTGTTATACGCTTTCTCCCCCTTCCCAATGTGTAATGTGGGTTGCATGTGCTTGCTATGTGTTATGTGTGCGTGTTGCCCCAATTCGGTTGCGATCGGATTGGTTATCCTGAGCTGCGGTTCAGAAGCCGGCTACAGTCAGATGGGAATTCCTGGCTGCAGTCGAATGACGGTATCCTGGGCTGCGGTCCAGAAGCTGGTTGTAGTCAGATGGGAATTCCTGGCTGCAATCAGGTGACATCTTTCCTGAGCTGCGGTTCAGAGGCTGGCTGTAGTCAGATGGGAATTCCTGGCTACAGTCAGATGACACACTCTATTGGGCTGCGGTCCACTGTTTGGTTGCGATCAAACACTATGATGAGCTGCGGTTCATCGGTCGGTTGCGATCGACCCCTCCGTGTTGCGATACGGGGCAGGGTGCTGCGGGGCCGTGTCAGAGCTATATGCGCTGACCCTCATGTATGGGCATGCGATTGGTCCTGTGGCGCCAACAAAGTGTGTTATGTGTTGTGATATGGATGAGTTGTGATTATGAGTGTCTTGGGGGATGTGACTATGGGATTTATATTGGGGATTGTTCATGTTGGGTTATGATCATTGTTTATGCTTTGCCTTATCTGCCTTATCTGTTGTGAACTGCATATGCTCGTTATAACTGTGCTTGTGTCTGGCTTTATCTGTCGAGTCATTCCCGGTTTTAAAACTAGAGTTCGTAGGATATATCTTCATGCTCAAAATGGTTTTCGTATATCTATATATATCTCTATATGTATTGTATTTCAACGCGTTGGAGTGGGTTACCAGCATCTCTGGCTGAACAGATATATTTGGCTTTCAGGCACAGAAGATTAAGTCACTGGAGTGCGCTAGAACTTAGAAGTAGATAGTTTCCCTTTTGGCCTGCGTGCCACGTTTACATATTTACGCTTTGAGGATATTAGTTAGTTAGCCTGTGCACTTGGGTTCTCTAGCCCAGGTGTGGCATAGCACCCCGAACGCTTGTATTTATATCTTGGGATTTAATAAGATTCTACCTTTATTATAAGTTTTAAATGTCTTGAAAATCTGGGGTGTTACACCGAGTCCCTTCCGGGCTCTGGGGGGGACGGGACTTGGAGGCGATGAGGTTCTGCTGGTCGGGACTGAGCCTCAACATAAGGTGTTGGCGGTACAACATAGCACCCTAGTCTGGGCTGAACGGTGCACCAGGCAAGACTAATCAAATCCGTTGACCTGGTCAGGCTTGCTGCTGGCCAATAGTAGCCGAGTTCCTTCTGGACTCCGGGGGGGACGGGTCTTATTTGGGGGGTTGTTGATTGTTCGCGTCGGCCTGTTAATACCTTATACACTCACCTTATGTAAAATTTATCGGAAATAGCTGGGGTCAGGGGAGCAGGATGTTTTTTTGTTCTATCATGTTCCTATTTTCTGCAGGTTGCTTCTTTGGCCTCTGAGGCACTTGACTGGTGTATAGGCTTTTTTGGTTTCGCCTTTGCAGGCATCTTTTGAGATAGACCAGGCCTCAACGTTGGTGCAAGCGGTAAGAAATTGCACCCTGGCCCGGGCTGAACGGTGGCCGGGTAGGGGTTTTTCAAATCCGTTGGCGGTAGTCCAGGCTTGCTGCTGGCCTATAGTAGCTAATCCCGTTAGGGTTGGTTCTGGTTCGTTGCTGGTGCTGATCGGGGGTTGATGCTATTGGCTGCATATTGCATTGGCCTGAGTGCCGAAGTTTCGGCCTGTGATCCGTTCTGTATTAGTCATGTTATCTTTGACTTAGGCCTGTGTCCTGATATTTCTATATGTTAAAAAAAAAACTTTATACTTAGCCGGGAGCATGTGTATTGTTGCTTTTATTCAGGGCAGTCAATAGTACCCCAGGAGATGTTGCGGTTGTGGTTGCAGCCCCGTTGGATTGCATCATAGTGCTGGGACGCTATGGTGCAACTAGCAGGGAGGTGCTATGGCGCGTGACAAGAAAGGTAGTTGTTCCTCTTGTCATCCATCTACACGGTTATATGGTGGGGCTGTGGCGCTGGTGAGCTACATTTGCATTTACATCCTTTCGAGCAGCTGTGCAGTCTACCTTTTACTTAGTAGCTTTTATTAGTATTTTATCCTAGCCTATGGTCTAGTTTTAGCTGTATGACTAGCATAGAACTTGGGGCCACGCATGTTATAGCCCCGGGGGCCTTCGTTTGTAATTTTATTTACTTGTTGTTTTTTGGGGGTTTAGGCCATGTAGGGTCTAACTCTCCTCGACCTTTTAATGGCTTTATGCCTTTTGCTTATTAATAAAGTTATCTTTGCTTAAAAAAAAAACCACCAAGCTAACGAAAGGTTAACAATCGCAGTTTGTGCGATTAAACTCCATCACCAAGCTACGGTCAAAAAGGAGAAAACTGGGAGCTCGGAGGAGGAATCAAAACCGGAGTCTCAGAACATGGATGTCACGGTGAAGGCGATCCCAGAGAAGACAAGGATCGCTCAAAATTCTCAACCCCCACATCTTGTTGGTGGGGAAATAAATGAAACTCAGATCGAAAACCAGCCCCCACCTCTTGTGGAGCAGCTTGGGGAAGAAAATAACCCAAGAATGAATAATCCTAAAGATCCGGCTAAGGAGCCATCCAAAGAGACCACTGGAAAGGCTCAAAAGACAGTGACCTTCGTAGAGGAGCAATCCAAAGAGGAACCTGCTGTAAAAGCGTCAGACAAAGGAAAGGCACCAATGGTGGACGTCGGAGAAACTATGGGAATTGGTAAGACCTCTAACCCCGTCTATGGTCGTGAGAATGCTCAGAAGGGGGCTGGTCCATCTCGGACTGGCCCTAGTAGCAAGGGAACCTCCACTGGACCAAACAATTTCAGACCTCCCCAAATGCAGAGTGCACAGCCTCAAAACTATGCATCTCTATTTCCAGGGGATATGGAAAAGGCTGGTTATGTCTTTGGAGGTCTCCCCCAAGTGGTAATTGCTGAGAAATCTCCTGGAATCCACAGAGGGATACCAGTAGTTAGGTTTGGAGATGGGGAAACATCACAATTGAAGGCAGTAGAAGGCCATCTCCTAATTGGGAAATTTTCCTGGGGCAAGCCACCCTTAGAGGATATAAGAAAGTACTTTGCTACGAATTTTATCCTAAAAGGGACCCTTGTAGTAGGATGGCTTGACCCTAGGCATATAACTTTAGCATTCTCTCAAGAAATAGATTGCATTAAAATTTTGTTGAGAGAACAGCTGCAAATAGGCCACTATGCAATGAGAATATTTAGATGGTGTTTGGGATTTAGCACTGAGAAGGAGTCAAGTATTGCCCCAGTGTGGGTAAGACTTCCCATGCTCAGTGCTCACCTCTTTAATGTGACAGCTTTGAAACAATTGTGTAAACCTATTGGAAAGCTGCTAGCTGTGGATCATGCTACTCTCCACTTCACCAGACCAAGTTATGCTAGGGTGAAAGTGGAGATTGATTTAATTGCACCTAGAGTAGGAGAAATTTTTGTTGGCTTTTTTGATAGTCCAGGTAAAGAAGATGAAGGCTATGTACAAAAGGTGGTGTATGAGAGAGTTCCTCATTATTGTGGGGTGTGTTTCAAACAAGGCCACTCTGAGGAGCATTGCAGACAGAAAGCTAGACTGGGAAACTTTAAACCTACAGAAGCTCAAACTGGAGCTGCCAGCCAGGGGAGGCCTACTGCAGAAAACCTGGAAAAAGGAAGAAATATAATGAAAGGGGAAAGTAGCAGAGGGAGGAGGGACAATAACCAGGGAGGAGGCTGGCAATAGGGTAGAGGAGGGCAGATGAATAGGGGTAGAGGGAGAGGAAGGGGAAGAGGTGGCCCATGGGAACAAGTGAAAAGTGATGATGAGTTACTTCAAGGGTGGAAATATGCTCCAGAAAATGAGGCAAGAAAAAAATACTTGGGCAAAGGATCAAAACAAAAAATCTGAAATGAAGAATAAGGGTAAGGTGATTAAAGATCAGGATGAAATAAATGTGGAGAGAGGGAGGGAAATATTGAGAGAAATGGTGGAAAAGGAGGGGGTGAAAAAGAATCAGGAGACTATAGGAGGTTGGGGAAGACAAAAAGAAAATGTCTCTGAAACTGGGAAGAGTAATGTAGGAATAACAATTGAGAACAGAACAGAAAATGATAACAATGAACAGGACAGAAGCCTGGGAGATAAGGAAAGTGGAAAAGATTGGGATGCTTCTAATACCTGGGAGGAGATTTATGAGGAGAGGGGCAATGAGATAGATGGTAAAGGGGAAAAGGCTGATATTGATCCAGGAGATGAGATTGAGAATCAAGAGATTAAACAGGAGGAAGTGAAGGAGCAAAACAGCAAAATTCTGAAACAACTTAATGTGGATCAGTCATCTGACATCACTGTTGGGAGGCTGACCAGATCCAGGTTTAAGGAGGGTGATTCCCTCCTTCAAGGCTTTAAATGAAGATTCTTTGTTGGAATGTGAGAGGAGTGGGCTCCCAAGGCTCCTCTCACAGGTTCAAAAACTTGGTGAGAGTATTCAATCCAAAGGTTATGTGTCTCCTGGAACCTTTTAGGGACCATAGTCAGATAGGTCAATTTGCTATGACTGTTGGGTTGGATAGCAGTAGATGCTTTGGCAATAAAAAGATCTGGATATTTTGGACTGGAGATGTTAAAACTTAGATATGGGAAATTGACACTCAGATGGTAACTCTGCAGGTGGAGCTGCCTGAAATTGGGGAAGTTTTCCTCTCATTTGTGTATGCAGATTGTGACAGAAGGATTAGACAAGTAGTGTGGAATCAAATTGAAAATATGGCAAGGGGGGTGGTGGGAAAGGGTCTTTGGGCAGTCTTGGGGGATTTTAACTGCATCTTGAAGGGTGAAGAGAAGCAAGGGGGTCTGCCTTACCAGATAGCTAAGAATAGGGAATTTCAGCACAGTGTGGACAATGCAAGTTTGAGGGAGGTATCATACTATGGTAATCCCTTTACTTGGTGGAATGGGATAGAGGGTAGTCAGGCAATTTGGAAGAGATTGGATAGAGCCTTGGTGAGTGAAAAATGGGAGGGATCTTTGAAAACTTATGTACAACATTTATCCAAGGTGACATCAGACCATGCCCCTTTAGTTATGGACCTGGAAACTCAGGTATTTTCAAGCAGAAGGCCCTTTACTTTTATCAATGCCTGGACTGAGCATGAGCAATTTCTGACAATAGTTCAACAGACTTGGGAAGGAAGGGTGGAGGGGAATGCTATGTATAGGTTTGTCTCAAAACTTAAAAGGGTCAAATCTGCCCTGATTGAATGGAATTGGACTGTGTTTGGAAACATTTTTGATAAGGTTAAGGAGTTAGAAGAGAAAGTAAGGGTTGTGGAAGATGCTCTACAGAATAATCCAACACAGGAAAATCTGATGGAATATAAATTAGCTCAGGCTAAGTTGCAGAAGCAGGTGGTGATAGAGGAGAAATTTTGGCAGCAGAAAGCTCATGTTCAGTGGGTGGTAGATGGGGAAAGAAACACAAAATACTTTCAGGGCTTGGTGAGGGAAAAAAGGAGAAAGCAAATAATTCATAGAATAAAAAATGAAGAGGGAGTTTGGGTGGATGATCAGGAACAAATAAGGGAGCTGGATGTGAGGTTCTTTGAAAAATTGTACACTGCTAAGGCAGTTTCCTCTGACCAAAGTGTGCTTAATTGTTTGCAGGTGCTGGTGACTCCTGAGGAAAATCAAAGGCTGATTGGAGCACCCTCTGAGGAAGAAATCAAAAGCTGTGTTTTTAGCTTGGGGGCAAACAGTGCCCCAGGCCCTGATGGTTTTGGAGGGGGGTTCTACCAATCATGCTGGGATATAATCAAGGAAGACCTGATTGTAATGGTAATAAGTTTCTTTGAGGGGAAGAGTCTAACAAAAGCAATAACTAGCACATCAATTGTGCTAATTCCAAAGACTCCTAACCCCTCAAGTTTCAGTGATTTTAGGCCCATAAGCCTGAGTAATTTTTGTAGCAAGGTGATAACCAAGGTCATGGTGGTTAGGTTGGCAGATATCCTCACTAGGATTATATCACCTAACCAGGCAGGTTTTATGAAGGGAAGAAGTATCATTGATAATGTGCTTCTGGCCCAAGAAATCTGTCATGGCATGAAAACTTATAGTGAGGATATTATTTTAAAATTGGACATGACTAAGGCATATGATAGATTGGATTGGGGGTGTATATCTTCTGTGTTGAAAGGTGTTGGGTTTTTGTGATGCATGGGTAGACCTTGTGAATAGAACTATTAATAATATCTGGTACACTGTTGTGGTAAATGGATCACAAAAAGGTTTCTTTCATTCTACTAGAGGTTTAAGGCAAGGGGATCCATTATCCCCTAGCCTCTTTGTGCTAACAGCTGATCTTCCATCCAGGTTAATAAACAGGGAAATGTCTCTATTTTCACAGCTCAGAAGGGGCCTCAAGTGAGCCACTTAGCTTTTGCAGATGACATGATTGTATTCACCACAGGGAAGTGGGGAGGTATTCAGGAGACTATGAGGGTGCTGGAGATGTATGAGAGGCAGTCTGGGCAACTGGTTAACAGAGAGAAAAGTGCCTTTTACATGCATAAGAATACCATAGGAGAGGTGGTGGAAAGAGTGGGAGAGCTTACAAGATGCCAATTTAGGGAATTCCCATTCACATACCTTGGCTGCCCAATCTACATGGGGAGGAAGAAAGTGAACTTGTTTGAATCTGTGGTTTCAAAGATAACAAGTAGATGTAAGGGCTGGCAAACAAGGCTGCTGTCCCAGGGGTGGGGGGAAATCAGTTTTAATTAAATCTGTGCTACAAGCTATCCCATCCCATGTTTTCTATGCAATGAACCCCCCAAAAGCAGTAATAAAACAGATAGAGAAAACATTTGCTAATTTCTTTTGGGGGTGTACTGAGGGTAAGCCTAGATATCATTGGAGTTCTTGGAAAAATTTGGCTAAGCCTGTGAATGAAGGGGGGGTAGGCTTCACAGGGATGCAAGAGATGGTTGATGCAGCAACAGTTAAGATGTGGTGGAATTTTAGGAAGGGGGAATCCATGTGGAGCCAGTATATGATGGCTAAGTATTGTAGTAGGTCCAACCCTGTGGTCAAGGGATGGCAGTATAGTGATTCCCACATTTGGAGAAGGATGGTGGAGGTAAGAGACAAGGCTGATGCTCAAATTGGTTGGACTGTGGGGGCAGGTGAGGTAAGTTTGTGGTGGGATGACTGGACTGGAGGGGGTGCCTTAGCTAGGACTATGAACTTGAATGGGATGGAAAAGGAAAAAGACAAGTTGAGATATGCTGTAGTAGATGGAAATCTGGATCTAAGTAGATGGGGGATCCAAGGCTGGAACAGAAGAGTTAATCTCAGGCCTGGGGTCAAGGATAAAATTGTTTGGAAGCCAACTGAAGGGGACTTTAGCTTGGCAACTGCAAAGAAGATGATGAGAGAACAGGATTGGGCAAGCAGGAATGCTGATTTGACATGGTGCAGAAGGTTGTGGGTCAAGGGGGTAGCATGGAAAATGGTTTTTTTTAACATGGAGAGTTTTCAAGGGTAAGATACCTTCTGATGAGCATATGATAAGGTTTGGATACAACATAGTGTCTAGATGCCCTTGTTGTGTGCAGCCTGACTTCTGTAGCTTGCAGCACATTTTCTGCAGAGGTGAAACTGCTAGGGAAGTTTGGAGCTTCTTTGCAAGATCTATGGGATTTAGAGTTCAGATATTTGGGATAAGGCAAGTCTGCCAGGCCTGGTGGAAAGGGAGATGGAAGAATAGAATGATGAGATTCATAGCTGAGAGGTTTCCAATGCTTGTGGTTTGGGAGTTGTGGGTTCACTTCACTCAATGCAAGTATGGAGGTGACCTACCTTCTGTCAAAAGGGTGATTTTCAAAGTGGCAAGGGACATGGCAGAATGCATAGGGAGGAGATGGCCTGCTTGGGAGCCTATTCCTCCTAATTGGAAGTTTATTTTAAAGAAGGCTGATAGTTTTAGTTGTATGAGGCTTGTTAAGAAGGCTGGGTGGTGTAGACCAGAGAAAGGGTGGGTCAAAATCAATGTGGCAACAAATAGAGATGGGAAAGGATGCAGTTTCTTTATAAGGAACTGCAGGGGTCAGTTCTGATTGGCTGGAGCTTATGAAGAGAGGGATAAATTAGATCTCAGATCCCTTCTTGTTATCATGATCCAGGACTGTTGGGCCTGGTGCAGAAGAAAGAAGATAGGGAATGTTATAATGGAGGAGGACTTTGGTTTTGAACAGAGTTTATGCCAGCCTCCACAGGAGATAAATGTGGTTTGGAAGAAATATAGTAGCCAGGTTAATTGTGTGGCTATATGTTTGGCAGAAAGCTGTAAGGGCATGGATATCATTTTTAATAGATATGAGGGGTTGCCATCAGGGTTCTGGAGAGTACTTGCTCTGGAAGGACTTCCCCATTTCTCTTTTGCTCCTGGGCCTGATTTTGTAAGATGAATGGTTTCTGGCTTGGGTCTAAGACATGGGTCCCTGGGATCTGAGTGATGATGGAGTTTAAGAGTGAGTCCAGGGTTCTTAACCCAATGATGATAACTGAGGGTTATGTGCCCCTGGCCTATTGAAAGGGGATGGAGGGAGTATAAGGAAGGCATGAAATGGTTTTGAAGGGAGAATCTATTTTGAGGGTGGCACAAGGAAGGGGTTAATGAGAGTTTTGAGGGTGGTGAGGGTGTTATAAGGAAGGAGATAAGAGCAGATCTGTGGCTCTTCCTCAGAAAGAAAGGGGTTATAAGGGGTTGAAAGAGTGGTGAGAATATGAGAAAAAGGAAGAGAGAAAAGTAAGGGGAGGGAGATATAAGGGAGGTGTAGAGCTGCCTTCATTCCAAGTTTGTTTGCTTGAGGGAACATTCTAATGAGATCCAAGATTGTGGAGGTGAGGGATGTTCTGCTCATAATGCTGGTCTGTGTGAATAGAGGGGCACTAATACCTTGGGGAGCAGATCAGTGAGGTGAAGGACTGAGGTCTGTTCTGCCCAAGAATGAGCCTCTAAGCTTCTTGATAAAGATGGAGAATGTGCCTGGGAAGCCAAATGGTAGAGGCACTTTCTGTCCAACCTTTGGGTAGTGCATCCCAGTGATAGACTGCTATATGGGCAGTTTGGAGGGGTGCACAGTTAAGCTGATTTAATGAGGGGGAATTGGTTAATGATGTTGAGGCCAACTGAGACCAGTTCTGCCCACCTACCAGTCTTAGAGGATGCATGAAACCCCAATGATGGCTGCTTGCCTGGGCAGACTTGAAGGTGCACAGGCCTGGGGAGCAGGTTTAGGAATAACCGAGATCTGTTCCCCAGTGGCTCATGGGCCCAATGATGGCTGCTTGCTGGGCAGTTCTGAGGGTGAAACAGTATGCTGAGGGTACTAACAGCAATTTTGCGGGGCAGATGTTGTTTGGTGGATCTACAATGGGTAGAAATGAAGCCATTTTGTTTTGCAGGTGGATGTTGTTTTGCAGATGGATGGAATATTGAAGATGAAGGCCTTGGTTGATATAGGTTAAAGAGATCCCGGTTCTATTATGTGCATATTTGTTTCCTGGGGCAAAAAGCTCGCTAGAAGAGATTCTTGGGGTAGCTTTTAGCCTTAGGGGCCCATTTGGGTTTGTGCCATGAATGGTGGGGTCTTTGTAGGCTCCAAGTATAGCACACACTCGGAGTTGGGAGTGTCTTTAGCTCTATTGGATCCATAAGTTAGGAAAAAAGGAAGAATGGGAAAAAAGAGAAAGATGGAAAAAAGAAAGATCAAGAGAGTATGATTGGTGGATGAGGGGGAATAAGGGGGAAAATGCATATGATAAAAAGAAAGAAAGAGGGAAAAGATGAAGGTCTTGAGGGAAGGGGAGAGTTGGAGGATAACCATCGCTTAGGTCGGGGTCATAAAGGTTCCCCGGGCTTAAAACACGGTACGCCGTGCCGTGGGAGTTGACCTTTGGCCTAAGGGTTGTAGGGGAGGGAGCCATCGCTCCTGTCGGGACCTCAAAAGCTCCCCCGGGCAAAACATAGTACGATATGCCGAGGGGAGTTGGTCTTGGGCACGAGGGTGGGGGTGGTGAGTACTACCGCTCAAGCCGGGACCCGCAAAAGTCCCCTCGGGCTAAACCACGGTACGCCGTGCCGGAGGGGATTGGACTTTGACTTGAGGATAGTAGGGGTAGACTAAAATAGATTGGATTCATGAGCTTAGGCATCGTTCCCAGCACTTGTGTGGGACGGGGAGCCTATTTTGACTATGATTGAGGATGAGTTTGTGAGGATTGGGGCCTTAAGGCTAGAATCTACCTTGGAATCCTTTTAGTTTGAGTTTATTAGCCTTAGTTTACATATTTGCTCATTTGATGAGTTGGGAGTTCTTCTTGGGGGTGGTCACTTTCGGACCACCCCTTGTATATATATGATTTTGTTTGTGTTGTTGTTATGGCCGAAAAGGCCAAGGACTTATTTGAGCCATAGTCCACTTTTGGGACTATGGCGTATGCTTGTAGACTCTTGGTTTTTGTTGGAATAAATGTACAGTTTTTATTAAAAAACAAAACAAAACAAAACAAAACAAAAACTTTATATTTAGCCGGGAGCATGTGTATTGTTGCTTTTAATAGGGCAGTCAATAGCACCCCAGGAGATGTTGCGGTTGTGGTTGCAGCTCGGTCGGATTGCATCATGGTGCTGGGACGCTATGGTGCAGCTGGCAGGGAGGTGCTATGGCGCGTGACAAGCAAGGTGGCTGTTCCCCTTGTCATCCATCTACACGGATATATGGTGTGCTGTGGCGCTGATGAGCTACGTTTGCATTTACATCCTTTCGAGCAGCTGTGCAGTTTACTTTTTACTTAGTAGCTTTTATTAGTATTTTTATCCTAGCCTATGGTCTAGTGTTAGCTATATGGCTAGCATGGGACTTGGGGCCACGCATGTTATAGCCCCGGGGGCCTTCGTTTGTAATTTTTATTTACTTGTTGTTTTTGGGGGTTTAGGCCATGTAGGGCCTAACTCTCCTGGACCATGTAATGGCTTTATGCCTTTGCTTATCAATAAAGTTATCTTTGCTTAAAAAAAAAAAAAAAAAAAAAACCCTAAACCCGCCTTGAACTCCTGTACTTTGTGTGGGCCTGCATGCCTGTATTTTGGCCTGCGAGCCGCTTCTTTATGTTCCTTATTTATCTTTCATGTACTATTACTTCATGCT